GGTTATGGATGCCGTGTGCCCCTGCGCATGTACATGAACATGAAACCTTTGCAGACAAGTGGCTCACACTCACACACACACACACACACACACACACACACACACACACTTTTGAGCGGACCATGAGGTCCCATGGGTGGCGGCTGCAATTCATGTCTGTTTCTTTTTCTCATTCATTTCTGGCCAATATGAGAAGCAACAGCTTTAAAGGTAATTCGGGTGGCCGTCGCAGGTGCGTCAAGAAAGCGTCCTCTCCTCATATCAACACACTCTGAAGAGTCTGTTTGTTAGATGCCCACTCTTCAGGTGGGCATCCCCCTGCTGATTCTCGAAGTTGGATTTGACAGATCTTTCTTCTGACATGTTAGGAATGGTCGTGCATGTCGTAATACCTTAGCTCTTTGGTACAGAGGTTGGCACACGCACACCCACCTTCATGTGCGCCAATATCTGTCTAATCAAAGCGAGGCACATTTTGCCCTGAACCGGTGGCCAAGGAAACGTGCTCAAAGCAGCCACGGTGCCCACGGGGCCGGGGGAAGTGGTGTGGGCTCTGCTGTTTCAAAGCTGCTCCTTGCGGCCTGTGCTGTGGGTCAGAGACACAGCAAGCACAGTTTAGCTCCGAACATGTCTGTAAATCTTGTGAGACCTAGGTGTGGGTGCCTCCTTCTCAGCACCCATTGGGGGCGTGATCTTCTCCCTCGAGTTGATGCTGCCACAGGCGAAGCTGCATGTATGCCCAAGACAGCAAGCCAGCCTGCACCCAGACCTACGACGCGTTCGCGTACTGGGGCTGCTTTACCGCTGGTCAGGGGCCACACCCTGTTGGTGCTGCGAGTCAGAAACACACATTGACGCCCATTGCGAGGCATCGTGGGTGCCATCACTTACGCAGTGGAAAGGACAGACTGCAAAGGCAGCTACATGTAAGAAACTTTGCCGGCAGAGTCATTCTAAGCACACTGCTGGGTGAGATGTTGTTACCTGCACAAGGACCTTGACTACAGGGGGACAGAACTTGCTTCCCTTGATTAGTGCCTTGGGCAACACGGAAAACAACAAAAGTAGGGCTTCAGCCGTGCTGCAGATGAGCTGAGGCTCCAACGTGCTGCCCGGCGAGGGCTCTGACACGGACTTCCCACTGTTACGGCTGGCTGTAGACATCGCTCTAGGCCAGCAAAAGGTGTCTTGCGAGTGAGCTGCACAGAACAGCTGTGGTGCAGAGCTGGGCAGAAGGCTTGCTATGCGGGCTGGGAGGAGGGCTCTGGGTCCGCAGCTTTTCTCAGCCGTGAGGCCCTTGCACCCTTGCGCAATCTTGGCTAAGGTTCGGTCGCACTCCTATGTTGCACGGGACTGACGGCTCCTTTCAGGTCTCTTGCAATCCGTTTCTGCTTTCAGGCTGGCGTATTGAAGCGCTGGCGTCTGCGGGAGGGTGAGCCGCTGAAGGCATTGGGATGCATGAGAGCCTAGCGCTCAGGAAAGGAGCCGAAGATGAAATACCAAGGTCGGTCACCAGGAGCCACTGCTCGGTCAGGAGGTTTGCACAGCTTTGCACAGCATTGTTCAACACTCCATCCCAAAATGCTCTTTGCAGGAGGGCCGCCCGGGCTGCCTGAAGCGCTGTTTCTTGCGGCTGCCAGGCTCCAAGCCACCAACAGCAAAACCTCCGAAACACCGAGCCTGCAGCTGCACTTGCCGCTGCTGCAGTTGTTGTTGCTGTTGCTGCTGTTCTTGTGGTCGGCGAGGTTGCAAGCCTTGAGGCAGGTTGCTATTGTTTCAGGAGCTTTTCCATTAATGTAAAGATCCCCTCACGCAAGGTCCGTAAGGTAGCACAAGACGCAATGTTTCAACCTTGAACTCCTGCGATTCTTAAAAAGCAAATCAGGCTTCAGAATCAGCTCTGTTATTCTCATGTTACGAGCAACCCAACTAACCAAGTCAGCTTTCCGTGTTTTTCCTTTTTTTGTTGTTAGAGGCAGCCTAGTAGCAGAGTCTTCATCAAAAAGGAACGGCTGCGAAATAAATGATTTTGAAACACATTGCTATCACTGTAAGGATTTCTATTCGTGTGGTGAAGGGCCCTCTAACGCTCGGTCCGTCACGGGCAGCTCATGAAACACAGTTTGAGCCTTGAACTCTCAAGGAAAGCTACTTGTACCAAGCAAAATCTGGTTTCAGAATCAGTGCTCCTGATGATGGAGCCTGACTAGTGTAGTAGTGTGGGCCCCCACAACAAAAAGGGGAGCACCCTGAACGGCCATGAGTTCAGACTCCTTTGCAGTGTTTGACAGCGTGGTAACCTAATGTGGAGCCTCTATAACAAAAAGGCTGGAGGATCCTATGGCTCTTATTAAAATCAATAGGGAAAGAGGGATCCTTCATAAGGACTTACTCTTTCAAGAGAATAGGAAGGGCAGGGTCTTCCGCCTTTATGTTAAAGGGCCTGCCCGAGAAAACCGATTCAAAGCAAAATTTCGATACCATTAAGACAGTAGAAACTCTTTCTGAAATCACTTGGAATTCAGTACAGATCGAATTGACAACCACCAACAATCAATTAGAATGGCCTGCCAAAAATCTCTACATTATTGAGCCCCCCCCAAATCATTTACGTAAGTGAGGATCAGGGGCTCTGCTAGACTATACTTTTTGGAATTTGATTGCTTAGCCTGCTCGAATACTCGGTTCAATAAGAAATCGATTGTTTTGGTGGCATCAGGTTCCAGATTCGAGAGGTAATTGAGCTGGCCTTGTGTTTAAAGCCCAGGCCTTTGAAATCTGATAGTTGTTGATCTCACAATTAGCCCGGCCAAAACATCTTCGCATTACTGAGCCCCACCCAAATCATGTGTATTTTTGAGGATCTGGGGCTCTGCTGCATTACCTTCTTTGGAATTTGATTGCCTAGCCTGTTCGAACAAGCGGTTAAAAAGAAATCGATTGTTTTTCGTGGCGTCAGGTGCCAGATTCGAGAGGAACTAGAGCCGGTCCTTCTCATGTAAAGGCCTGGCTGTACTTAACCAAAACCATTTTGGCCTCATCAACACCTTCCCTAGGAGACCCCCGCACTAATCGGTATCCAACATTATTCTCATCTTGCGAGCAGCCACCTGTCTGATTAAATCAGGATTTGAGATTTTAAGCTGTAAACTTGAATTTGTATTGTAGACTCTTAGGAGTCAAACTTAATCTTACACCTGAACAGTTTTAGGATATCGAGGTTGTTTCGTCAAATCTCGGGTTTCTTGGGCCCAAAACTGCCTCTGCCTTGAACGTGCTCTTGGACCCGTAGTTTGGCCAAACCTTTGATTCCAGGAGGTTCTTATTCATCAAGAGCATGGATGAATTGTGGCGGGCCAGGGGCAGCTTGTGGTTTTGAGGCTGGGCGGCAAATGGCGGGACTTGGCTTTGGTTGCTTCAGCCAAGGGCTCAACAGCTTACCCAAAGCTTCTTAGATAAGCTTACAGAACTGTGAAAGGTGACAGCCCTGAACACGCTTTTGGCGTCGTCCTTGCCCTTGCTTGGGGGCAAGCCGCAGCTGGGCGCCCAGTGGCATGTCAAACATCTTGCTGTCAATGCTTCTTTTGCATTTTCGAGATTGTCGATGCCTGGTGCTGAGGCCTTTGCTGATCTCCACCATCTTCGACAAAAACCTTCTAGAGAAGGATCCGGCAACCTGGGCCAGACCTTTGGCATTCAGCCTGCTTCAGTCTGTTTCAGTTTCAGCCTTCAGCTTTGAAACCGGGTGAGGTCCTTCCATGGGCGGGGGTCGCTGGAACTATGGCCCTTTGTGCATTGATTGCATGCTCGTCAAGACGGATGCATGGCCACAGCAGAAAGCAATTAAACAAGGCTTCCTAATGAAGTGGTGCATGACGATCCTTGCTGGGGCCTTGTTTGATGGCTTGAACCGGATACCTTCGCACTCTTGACTTTTTACAGGCCCTTTCCTCAGCCATTCCAGCAGGAGCCGCTGGCTTGGAGATAGACCTTGGTTTTTTGAAGCTTTTGAAGAACCAGCAAGCACAGGTTGTTGCTCCGACCATGATTATTGGCGGCCTCCTTGGCCGGGTCTACGCCCATGTGCTTCTGCTCCTTGGCCGAGAAAGCGAGATCTTTTGCAAGCTGCAGAACAGCCAGATCTTCCGCCCGAGACCAGACTGGTTCATTGACATGCTCCTCAGCAAGAACGGTGCGGAGCCTGCTCGGACTGCTCGGGCATTCGGGGATTTGAGCCATACGTTGCCTTTGCTGTATCCGCGAGGCCTCCCGCCTTCGGAGCTGCAGCGAGGAGCCTTCATGGCCCGCCCGGGCCACGAGCGAGAGTGAAGCCAGTGAAGCGAGTGAAGCAAGTGCGAGTGCAAGCGTGAAGAGGAGATCATAATCATAGGACCTCTTCTTCGGCAGTGGCTCCAGTGGCTCCTAGGCTGTGGCATCGTGGGCGCGTCGGCCTTCTGCGCAGCAGTCTGCCGTGCGTTTGCCATGGCCATCACTGTTTTCGAGGCAAGCAAGCGGCAAACAGAGTAAACACTCCCCAAGCCCCAAGCTTTGCAGCGCAGCTTTGCAGAGCTTTGCAGGTCTTGGCCTTGCCGAACTCTGTCCTGCCCCTCTGCAGCTCTGCACTGACGGCCATCTTTGTGGCGAACAAGGCAATGCGAGCGGCTTTTTGGGAGCATTCAGAGACAGCTCTCCCTTCCGCTTACCGATTTGGTTGTAGCAGATAGCAGCCTAAAAAGTGTAGCCATCCTCGAGGCATCCCTTAAAGCAAAGCAGGACTAGCATCGTAGAATCCTGTAGAGCTTTGACAATCCTGCAGAAGCGGCGAGTCTGCCAGGCAAGACGTCAACATGGTGGTTAGAATTGCTGGAGAAGCTGTCAAAATGTAGGGCTCGCCCATAAGTTCTGGACGCCACGAAAAGAACCCAAGAGAATAGGAGTTCTGCACAGGAGCTGACATGCAGAGTAAGCTGCGCGATGCACCTGCATAGCATGATGGAGCGAGCAGACATGAGTGCCAAGCGCAGAATGTTTCGTAGCTCATGCTGGACCTGCTTAACAACAGACAGACGGAAGAGATTCCATGAATCACTGAACGACGACTATAAACGTTAACTGGCTGCTGGTGGAGCTGCGCCTTGCCATAGCACAATTGTGCCACCTCTCATCAGCACAGCTTCCGCCCGGACGACCACGAGCATCTCCTTTCCCGGCATCGCCTCTCACACGGTTCTCTCACGTGGCTCCTGCGAAGAATCATCCCGTAGCCGCACTTCCTTGCACTGGCCTTCCCCTAAGCCACTCTTCCGACCCTCTTGGCCTCGCTTTGGAAGCGCCAACGGCTGGCTTCCCTTCCTACACCTGCATTGTTCCCAGCCCCGAACCATTCTTGTTGTTGTCATCTATATTATGATCATGAGCAGAACGCGCTGAACCAATCAAAGTCTCAAGAGGTTTGCTAGCCGCAGCGTGTCGTGCATTTTGCAAAAGACAAAGACGTTCTTTCATAAGCCCCAAACACATGGCAATGCTTGCGGCAAGCAAACGGACAGCGCCAACTAAATCACTCAATGTGTTTAAAGGTTCTCTAACTGCCGCGGATACAGTTCATGTGCAGAACTTGTTTCCCCTAATATGGTGTTGCCCACAAAGGCCACCTTACAGCTAAGGATGACCTCAGGGCCATGTTAACAGGAACCTGTTTGAACTTTGCAAGTTTACAAGTTGAGGTCTCCTGTGAAATCAAGAGGGGTGAGGTAGAGGACAGCCATGCCCAGCAGGGCTGGGCATTTAAGCCCGGGGCGGCCACCAGGCAGCCCCAAAGCCCGAACGAAAGAAAGAGAAGGAGAGAGAAACCATTTACGTCGTCAACAGGCAAAAGCAGGGCACAAGGAAGTTTCACAGTCCGTCTGAAAAGAAGCTTATCTTGGATCCTCAACAAATAGAATTCGCGGATTGACCACAGGCTCGGAGCGCTGCGCTGTGCTGCGCTCTCTGCGCGTAGGGGCCCGCCCCCGGGGTTTGGGGTTAGGCCGTGCTGTGCGAGCACTGTCTGTCGACGCTCCTGTCCCGGAGTCTCATTGTAGCTAATTACGTGTTCACTAGAGTGAACTTGTCTTGACAGCTTTGAGCTTGAACATGTCGCAGCGCTTGGGCTAAAACAGTGTGCACTTTCCAAGTTTGGTAGCGGAGCGGGTAAGTTGCTCCTTGCTTAAATCCAGGCAATAGGCTACTGGGAGCCTTTCGGCTCCGCGCAGCTGCGCAGCGCTTTTCGCTGAACACGTTCTTCACCACGATTCTGTTTGAGCCCTTCGGCAAGTCTTGGTGGTCTGCGTCTACGACGGGCATCGCTGTGCCCAACCACCTTGTCAAGGAGCAAGGACGTGCTGGCTCTGGAGAACACCGCCGGCACCGTCCAAGCTTTGGAGGATCCTGCTTGACTGCGACCTGGCAGGACCAACAACGGAAAGGAACAGGCGGTTTGCTGCTTCTGTTCCTTGGCTGCTGGGCGTTGGCCCAGGCTTTTGCGAACGAGACCTTCGGCCCGATCGACGGCAAGTGCTTCGACAAGTACTTCGAGTCCCTCGGCCCGGACGGCTCGTTCTCCTACTGCAAGATTTTTCGGCTGCACCTTCAATCGGAGCAGACTCCCTCTTCTGCTGTGGCAGAGTGTGTTACGGAAGGAGAGCAAAAGCACTTCTACATCCTGGACCTCTGCACCTCCGTGGACTCCATCGATTACCCGATTCAGATCATCGGTGGCAAGCTGCAGGATAACCTGGTCCTTGAGTGCTTCTACCTCCTGGACGGTCTCTTCGGCGACTTCATCGAAGCGATGTCCTCGTCGTCGACGACGAACAGTTCCGGCATTCCTCTGCAAGAATTTCGGCGGGACTGTCCTCCTGGCTGGTCTCCCGGACTTCCCGACTACCCGTTGAGGCTTTTCTTCGATAAATTGAAGCTCTGGTATCAAATCTTTGATGGTGCGGACGAGCTTGTGGGTCCTCTGGTGGCTGGGAGACTGCAGGGCAAGGCTCAACGGCTAGCTCTCCACCAGATGGAGGCGTGGACGTCGGCTCGGACGCCCTGGTCCGTCTCTCCGTCGAAGAACCCGCCATCATTCTCCAGAACGCGATTCCCAGTGGGATACAGTCTCTTTGCAACTCGCTGAGAGATGCCTTCGGCTTTTCTGACCAAGAGTTGGTGTCAAAGAGCATCGAGGACTTCATGGAGTTTCGTCGCGGGAGAATGGCTTTCTCCGAGTTTAGCATCGAGTTTGACATGTGCCTGGAGGAGGCCACGACCCGTGCTGGCTTTGAAATCAACGACGTGGCCAAGTTTTACCATCAAGCTGCAGATCCAAGGTGATCACCTCAATCGACCCAAGGCGTCCTTGAGCTCGGATGCCACAACCGCTGGACCGGATCCTCCTTCAAAGGATCCATCGAGTGCATCTGCGGTAGAAAAGCGTCTGGACTTCTCCTTTGCCCTCGTGGAGAGTTACCACACCGTGAAGGGCGACAAGAGGCGTGGTCTTCTTGTGGATCCGGGAGCTGCCTCTGGGCTTGTCGGATCCGAAACTCTTCGTGATCTTCTGAGCGTTCTTCCTCCTGAAAGACAACAAGCAGTTTCCTGGAACCATGGAAAACAGCACAGTGTTAGTGGAATCTCTGGTACCCCAGAGAACACCATGGGCGAGGTCACGATCCCGCTCACCTTGTCGGGCGCCCATGGTGACTATCGTGCTGATGTGTTAGGCGGTGATGGCTCTCTGCCGGCCCTGCTTGGCAATCCAGCACTTCGGCGTCAACGAGCAGCCATCCTAACGGACTACTTCGAGAATGGCGATGATGGCGTCTTGGTGGTCCAAAAGTCCGATCAAGAAAGGCACTACCTTCGCATCCTTCTGACGGATTCTGGACACTATCTTCTCCCTAGGGATGAGCACTGTGATGTGACAGAGCAGGATGCTACGAAGGTTAGCTCTCAACTCAACCTGTTCGCTGCCGCGATACGAGAGCGATGGAATGATGTACGGCACTGTTTTCTTCAATGGACATCCTGCTCGACTCCGGAACGTGAGCGGTGTGAACTTTCGGGAGAGTTGCAGCAGGGCCACTCAGACAACAGTCCACCGACCTTCTCCACGACTACCTCTTCTACAAGAGCTTCGTCCTGTGGAGCTCAAAGCTACGACAAGAATGAGAAGAAGACCACATGCGCAACCATTGAGGAACCAAAGAAGGACACCACATGCACAACCATTGAGGAGCCAAAGAAGCACACCGCGTGCGCAACCATTGAGGAGCCAAAGAAGCACACCACATGCACAACCATCGAGGAGCCAAAGAAGCACACCGCATGCACAACCATTGAGGAGCCAAAGATGACATCTAGCGTATCCATAGCTACTACCAACGAAGCTCAGGCAGATGGTCCGATGGGTCGAGACCTGACATTAGAGTTCAATGTCTCAGGCAACAGTTCAGCGACCTTCTCTACGACTACCTCTGGGCTTCGTCAACTTAGCTATGACCACTGTAAGCCGTTTCTGGAGGATCCCACGACGCCAAAGTGCGCCCCCGATCTTCCAGTAGATGAACTTCTCCTCACTGGCGAGCGTGAGACATCCATACGACCTCTACCACGACGTGCTGAACGGCGACTCGATGACGACTGGATCCACTCGAAGGTTCCCAGTCGAGACCTGGGTCATCTTTGGACCGGAGTTACCAAGTTCCGGCTGCGCACTCCTGGCAAGGTCATACCTCAAGAACAGCTAGCTTCTACGGCACCTTCCGGCGATGATGCCGAACTTTTCCCGCCGTACGCGGGCGACAACTTCCCTGAGCACTGGTCACCGGAACGCATCCAAGAAGGCCAAGCAGTACTACCGGGCCACGCCGGAAAAGTTCTACAGCCAATCGGGGCGACGGCCCATCACACCACGCAACTTCACGGCGTGGGTGCAGAAGTCTCGTGGAAGAAGTCTGCGTCTCCAGTTCCAGGAATTGTGTTCTGGTAGCGGCAGGCTATCTTTGTTGCTTCTTGCTGCTGGCTTTGCGGTGGCGTTTCCCGTGGACTACAGGTACGGCTGGGAGATGGCACTTCCTCGGCATCAAGCCATGATACATGAATGTTGTCAGGAGTTTCAGACGGCGCATCTCTTCGGAGCACCTTCCTGTGGACCCTGGTCAGTGGCATCAGGCACGAAAGACGCTCATGCTCGAGACTCTGACCGACGTGCTGAAATACCGACACTATCCTTCCTGCGCGACACATTCCTCTGGCAGCGCAATGAAGGCCGGGCATTCACGCTTGAACAGCCTCTTGGTTCGGCCATGTTCACCGACAGCCCGCCTTTTCGACCATGAGGGCATCACCAAGCAGCGCCTCGACCAATGCATGCTGGGAGCTCAGGATGAGGCACACCAGCCAGTGCGGAAGACAACTGCTTTTCTGAGCAATCGTCGCTGGCGGAATGACCTCAAACGCTGTGGGGGCCAGTGCCGGGCGAATGTCGTTACGGCCAACCTCATCACCAACCTCAGGCACCGACGACTACTGCGGCACGTACACCTGCAGGCGCCTTGGAGGATCCAGCCGGCCCTTTCAAGTTCCTGGCTCGTAGTGGGGGCTACTCTTCTGTGCTCTTGGATGTTGATGCAAGCGTTGAGCTTCTGCCTGAGTCACGTCTCTATCTGAAGGCGGCGGCCCTCATGCAGATGGTGGAAGCTGGTCTGGGCATCTTCGAGGAAGCCACTGCCATCGACTATGACCATTGGGTCGACGATCTGGTGTTGCTCCAGGTGATCAAAGAGGCTTTTGCTCCTCACTTCAACGTCCTTGCTATCATGCTGTCTTTGCGTCCATGGACTCGAAGGACGCCCGATCCTGACCTGTCTTCTGCGTGCGCGCCTTTGCGCTTGCTTATCGAGGGCGATGTTCGCCATTGGCGGGTCAATGCTGTGGAGGATATGCGACTTCTTTCGCATCATCAGCTGCACGCTCCTGTTGAGGAAGCGGGCTGGCGCGTTCACCTCTTTGGCCATTGGCGTAATGATCCCGAGGTTGATCCCGGGGCTCGCTCTTCAGCGGCTTCTCGACCAGCGGCTCCCTATGTTCCGTCCGAAAGAAAGTAATATTCGTGGTATCTGGT